GAGAGCGTTAAAGATTATATCGCCCGTTTCAATGACCGAGTTCAGAATATGGAACCCTGCCATCCCGAAACTTTGCTTGTTATGGCTATTGCTGGGTTGAAGCCAAATTTGATTTTCCGCTGGACGTTATGCCAAAATAAACCGAATACTTTCCAAGAATTTCTCGCTCGAGCCCAACAGCATATCATAGCGGAAGAAGCTATGTCGGTTCCCGATTTCAATTTTAATCAGAAGTCCTCTAAGGCGGGAACCGACGAAAAAAGGAAGAATAAATTTTTCGACAAGCAAAATAAGACTCAATTCAGGGGACCTCCCCGAGGAGACCCCAACGATCCTGAAGTCCGAGCGGCCCGAAAACAGTACGCGACCGACGTGAAGTCCGGTTACCAAACTGTATACTCGGCGGGAGCAGCTACTATTTATGAAGAAATCAAAGGGAAGGGCATTTTGCCAGATCCCAAGCCACTTCGGATGCCTGAAGAAAAATTGGACAAGTCCCGATATTGCGATTATCACAAGTCGCCCGGGCACAACACGGACGAGTGTTTGAGTTTGTTGGCCGCATTGTTGTGTTTAATCGGCCATCCGCAGCTTAGGAAATTTTACCGTAATACCGATCCCCAGAGGCGAGGACCTGGACGTCAGGTTGAATCCTTCGATGATGAAGACGACGAGGAAGACCGAGGTGCAATGACAAAACGCATCCGACAGGGGGATAAAGAAGTATTCATGTTTACCTCGGAGACCTCCGGTTCTAACCCTGCTGAAAATTCCCGAGGACGTAAGCGAGATAGGTCCCCTGAACCACTGCAGATTACTGTCCATCGGGTCAATACCAACAACTCCCGGAGTACATTGTCCCGCCGACAGGTCAAGGCGTATGCCCGACAAGCTCACAACTCCGGTAAACAGGTTTATACCACCGATTTGAGAGATGTTCTCAACGATCGGAATTGCCCTATAACTTTTAACATGGAGGACGCGAATCATTTCGCTCATCCTCACTCCGACGCCCTGGTCATTACCGTTCCAATATGCGGTATTCCGGTTCATCGTGTCATGGTGGACACTGGGGCCTATTCAAGTATTTTAATGCTGAAGGCTTTTGACAAGATGGGTCTCGACCCCGTCGAGATCCGACCATGCAACGATCAAATCCAGGGGTTTAATGGCAGTATTTCAAAACCTATCGGAGAAATCACTTTACCTGTCCGGTTTGGCACCTCGGAGAATGTCACCAAACTCGTCATGGAGACTTTTAAGGTTATGGATATTAATAACGAGTATAATGCCATCATCGGCAGGACGGCGTTGTACAAACTTCGGGCCGCAGTCTCTATTTTCCACTACGCGTTAAAGTTCCCGACAACCCGAGAAGAAGGAACCCACTTCGGAGATCAAAGAGAAGCTCGACAACTTGTAACGTTCATCCCATCTCATGGAGTTCACTCAGCTTCAACGAGTAACAATGAAACCGCCCCACAACATCACTATCCAAACGATGCGATGACCGAAGAACCGAGCAACCATGTCGGTGAACCTTCCACCTCGGATCCGTTAACCGAAGACCGAGGACGCCGACCTGGAAAAGAGCCCCTCCTTGAAGAAGACGAGCTGGATCCCAGAGCATTGTTTAAAGAAAAAAGTCGACCTGATCGAGCCGAACCTGGAGAAGACGTGGAGTTAGTCTATATTGACGAACCAGTCTTCCACAAGTCATTACGTATCGGAGGTCATCTTCAGGAACCACTTCGGTCAGAACTTATTGCGTTTCTCAAGCAGAATTCTGATGTCTTTGCCTGGAAGCACGAGGACATGAAGGGCATCGACCCCGGTGTCGCTAGCCACAAATTAAACCTCGATCGAACAGTCCGGCCCGTAGTACAAAAGAGAAGGAAACTGGGGCCGGATCGTCAGAAGGCATTGGAAGAAGAAGTCAAAAAACTCGTTGACAATAAATTCATCAAGGAAGCCAAATACCCGACGTGGGTCTCGAATCCAGTGCTCGTTAAAAAAAGTAACGGGTTGTGGAGATTGTGTATTGATTTTTCCGACCTCAACAAGGCGTTCCCAAAAGACAGTTATCCGCTTCCCCATATTGATTATATGGTTGACGCCACGTCGG